CTTGATACCAATTCTCTTTGTCAGGCGATGACATTGCTTCATCATATGTAGTTGGAATGCTCGCCATTTTGTAGCAGTAGTGTACAGTGTACATTGCACTATCCTCAGATTCAGATATGTCTGATTCACATGCATAGTCCTCCATGCGTTTGGGTTTTGTAGTTTGTCGTTTGGGATATCTACGCGTTGGCTCGACTTCTTGTTGCTTTTGGTTTCCTTCTGTCGTTGGACCTTTATTCTCTTCATGTTGTGTTTCTTCTTTCTCCTGTTCTTTAGTTTCTTCAGCCTCAGGTCTCTTGTAGATTTCCTGTTCTTCCTCATAGTCAGGTTCATAAACAGTTTCTGTAAATGTTTCTGTGAATTTCACACATCTTATTCTTCTGACTTCATCCTGTTGAGGGAAGTAGACCAGGTAGGCTGGGCTTTCACGATCATATCCAACGAAAACACCTTTTTGCTGCGATTGTCCAGTTTCTTCGTCCCTTGAACATAAGCAAAACAAGCTGTGCCGAAAACATGCATATTTGACAGATTTGGCTTCTGACCTGTCATAACCTCAAATGGTGTCTTGTTCAGTCTCTTGTTGCAACACGGTTCGAATATGCGCTGAAGTCATGATAGCATATGACCACAGAGTCTTGGGTAACTTGGCTTCAATGATGAGGCATCTCGCCATGTCGAATAGGGAGCGCCATGCCCTTTCTACTGTTCCGTTCTGATGGGGTGAGTACGGGCTGACCTCTGGTGGCGTATCTTGTTCTTGATGAGAATGTTCCTAAATTTCTGGCTGGTGAATTCTGTCCGTTGTCAGTCCTCAAGGTGACCACTTTTCCAAATGGTGCCATATCTGCTAAGAATTTCTCTGTAGCTGCTGGTGTGTCACTTTTCTGTTTCAGGAGATACAAGGTAACAGTACTTGAGTAATCATCAACAAATGATAGAACATATCTAAAACCACCACGAGCTGTTGGCTCAATGGGTCCCGCTAAGTCACAATGAACCATCTCAAATGTCTTAGTTGCTCGTTTGTCAGGTTTCCTATCTATCCACTGGAACATCTTTCCCTTAGCACAAGTGTCAGATACATCATTCTGTGCCTTACCAGCAATCTTCATACCATTTACTGCCTCTTCTAGTTTCATGACATCCTTCATGTTACAATGTCCAAGAATCTTATGCCAGTCTTGGGCTGAATGAGTAACACATTTAGATGAAACAGTGTTGTTCAAGTAATAAAGTTTACCATGTTTTAGTATGTTGAAGGTAGTACCGTCTGGAGCCTTCAAACATGCTCTGTCAGGATTAAAATTGATGGTTGCTCCCTTGTTTGTAGCTGCCTGCACAGACAAAATGTCTTGGTTGAACGATGGAACATATAACGCATCCTCCAGTATCACTTTGTGTTGCTTACCATCAACATCACACAAAGAAACACATGCTTCACCTTTAGCTTGGACAATCCCGTTAGTTCTACTTCCATCAGCAAACTCGATGTAGTGTTCAGATGTGCGGAAAGTCTCGTCAAAATTAACAAACTTGTCTTTGTCAGTTATGATATGTGTTGTAGCTCCACAGTCCACAAGAAGATTGTTAAGAAGATCCCCAGTTTCATTTTGAACACTAACCTTGAATGCTAAATATGAATGTTCTGGCTCACAATTTTCTTTCTCATTACTCACACTTTTGGCAGTATCTCTCTTCCGGCAAAATCTTGTGTCATGTGTTGGACTTTTGCATATGTCACACCATCGGCCTTGTTTCTTGTTTCCATTTGGATAATACTTCTTTGGTCCTTGTGTCTGTTGCTGATTCCTTCTTCTACACTCTGATGCTCTATGTCCGGGCTTTCCATGAATAACACTTGAAGGTCATAATACTGTCTTCACCTTTACGTGTATATTGTATTTTGTCAGTCTCTTCATAACCAAGAGAGCCGTTTTAAACTCAGAAAAGTCATGGTCTTATCTTTTTTGTGTTACCACTATAGCAAAGGTTTTCTATGAAGAAGGTAAACCTTTAAGTACCGTTGCTATCAAGAGGCTATCGCTAATTGTCTCACCTGCCATTTTAAAGAATTCGGCGGCAGTCTCTCGCCTTGATTACATAGTCAGTTGTACACTCCGTTCCCATCTTCAGCGATGTGAGTTCTGTGTATAACGAGATTACTCGTGGTTTTCCGCTCCCTAAATAATGTTCTCGTAAAATTTTCAGTGCTCTTCTTCCATCATCCTTAGCATCCCTCATTACGAGGGCTAAGCTTCTATCGTCCAGGCATTGCACCAACTCAGCAAAAGCATCAGCATTTTTGCTAGCAGAGGGGCTCTCTGACGACTCTTCGGTCGGTAATATCACGCCGTATAATTTCTGCAAACGCATATGTCCGAGGAATTTCACCTCCCATAGTTCATATTTCTCTTCAGTGGAAGCGTGCTGGGCCCATAACCTGTTGACATCATGCTTCTCACTCATGAACGACAGAGGCATCTAAGTTGGGGTTAAAAGTTTAATATACCTTCTTCGCACATCGGCGGTTACATTTGAACTGAGCATGGGAACACATGTACAGGTACTTCCGGAAGATAAAAGGGAGTTAATTGTTTTTGTATGTTACATACCGCTAAAAACAAATGAGTAAAGTGACTGATGCGTATGTACAATATTCACAAAGCAATATAACTACAGTTTACTCCAACAAGAATGAAAGAGGGTCCGACTATTGATTTTGAGTCAAATGATGATCAGTACCTTAGCAAATCTATCTGAAAATAATCATAAGAATTGATGTAACTCAATCATGCATTTGTGATGATTTCCAAATGTGAAGCTTGAACAATGATGACAATAATAACATACCAAAAGCCGTCATCCTCTAATGCCTCCACAATCATTCCAACCTTGAATCTGCAGGGGGTATCTATGGACAAAATCCATGATATGCATGGTTAGTACAATGGAATAGTTAGCTCACTGTTATTTTTGTGGTCTATTTTCAGAGTTTTTCAATTAAAAATTCACCAAGAAATATCTTTCACACAAGTTGCTTGAAACACTGATACTGATGATCCATAATATATATGTAACAGTGTGTAAATAAATGTCATTTTAATGTGTTAAACTTCATTATTTTAAACTTAGGTATAAAACTTTATCATTACTAAACTAGCATGTGTTAACACTTACACTTGCACTGTTTAATCAATTCACTGGTAAGCTAGCTTGGGGTCTATTGTTAATGGTAAGTGATCTGTGTCAGGTTCAATCTCTGCATTGGCCTGTTGTCAAGGTTCCTATTGTTTCATAGATTTCACCTTCTCGTCATATTTAAAGCCTTCTACTGCCTTTCATTTGTGGCACTATACATTTTTCTCCTTGAGACCACAATACCTGCACAGCACCAGCACATTATGGGGTAAGTTAAGTTGGATCTTTTAGTATTACATGTATAGTAGGGCTATTAGGATTTAGTGTATTAGATTACATGTTTTAAGGAATAGTGTTTTATCATATTTAGTGTATGTAAGGTGTTTGTCTATAAATATATGCATGCTTAGTATTTTAGACAAATATATGATGTATTGTGTACCAGTACACTAGTATACTGGCGTGAGTTTATTTGAACAGTAGGGTATTTTATACCACAATGATGCTGTAATTTGTACCATGCATATGTAGTATGTATAAGTAAATGTAATAGCTATTTCATGATTGGCATGATACAGTAATGTGTATCATGCATGTTTATTATAAGGTTTAGTTTCTATATGCATATTTATGTATGTATTAGGGTAAATAACTATTTATGTGTACGCAATGTCATTTATGATGTATATCTGTATATACTAGCAGTATACTTAGGCAATATTTTGTTTATTTAGGTTCACTGAGAATCAGATGTTTAATTAGCTGTTGGACTATTCTGCCTGCGTCCCCGAGACGAGGTGAGGTATTGTTTTCAGAATGTAATTGTAAATATTAGTAATTATAATTGTTATATATGTGAGTGATAATCAGAGTACATGTCTTTGCTTAAATATGGATGATTGACAGTTATCAGATGTATTAATAGTATAGTGGTAACCATATTGAATGTATAACATGATACGTATTTCATTACAAGAGACATTGATAGATATTTTATTATTCAGGGCGTTTTGTGTTACTGTTCAGTCAACTGGGGATCTCCTTATCCCACATCACCAGCGCCGAATAAATCCCTGAAACCCCACACAAGTGTTCGTCTTCATTGAACCAACATACAGTGTATACGAATACCTCTGTTACATATACTGGGTGCTGTGTGACAATAAGTCATAGCCAATAACACTGATACACCACACAGCAATAACACAGCATTGTTTGTCATTGAACCATCTATTTCTTTTTGCTAATGTTTATTTGTCATCTATATATTGGCAACTATGTACAGCAGGGGATGATTTATCAGGCTCCGCCATCTGGCTGCACCATGTTATCAACAATCCTATAGTTATCACTGACATGGATGATTCTTGAACAGGTGTGTGAGGGATATTCTTGGGCAATTTCACTCTCTCCATAAAAGTTCACATTACTTGATGTCTGACGCATGTTTTGATAGATGTTTGCAATTGAACTAACATGTTCATTCATAAGTTTAATTCCATTTCTGCACAGCAAAATCCACTTGTCCACCATTACAAGAATATTTCTCCTCTGACACAGTGACCCCTGACCTTCCATGAAATGTCACTAGATGCCATGCATTTGTGGTGGAACATGTTACCTGCACTGGCAATATTTTATCTGCACTGGTGCAGTCTAGATATGACAAAATTGATACCTGCAGTACAGCAACATTGGATTGAGTGAGTATGGTTTTACGCCGCTTTTAGCAATATGCCAGCAATATCATGGCGGGGAACACCAGAAGTGGGCTTCACACAATTTACCCATTTGGGGAAACGAACCCAGGTCTTCAGGGGGACGAGCAAACACTTTAACCACTAGGCTACCAACACCGCCCCAGCAACATTGGAAATGGCCCCAGAAAATCCTAATACATGTACAGACTAGCACTTTTCATAATTGCTCACCTCATTATTGTGTCTCCTTTTTTGCAAGTAGGACTCAGCCTGAAAGAAAATGTTGTTTTACATAAAAATTATATCAATGACAACATACCAGTATTCACATATTACAAAAAAATTAGGACATTTAGCAGTAGAGATATTTATTAACTTACCATTTCCTCAGTTTCTGCAATCCTTGATGCCTGAAAATAGATTTGTCCGCATGTTATTTGTCCATCTTATAGAAGCTCGTACAAGTAGGGTTCTATTTGCCATCATGACCAGTAGGAAGAAGTCAGTTGGCGGAGTGATATGAACATCGACATTTCATTGATATTCCTTTTCCATGACCTAGCATAGGGAAGATGATTACAATGAGAGACATGTTCAGATAGACTGTGGAACATTGTGGCAAGAGCAAACTGAAGCAGTGGAAAACCATTTGTTATCTTTAAATAGGAATATCTAAAATAATATAAAATAATATCTAAATAATGCCACTCAAAGAAGCTAGGAATATCTAGGTTAAAAGTAAAAATAATAATATGTTTGAAAACATCATTAATTCAACCTTCAGCGTTTCATATATATCCAATTCACAGATGGCAGTTTAAGGTTTCTATAACTTACCTTTTCAGGTGCTGTCTTCTTCAAGCTTCTCATATCTAACTTGATTGAAGAGTCTGATAAAGAAAGTATGATACCTTATGAATATGAATGACATCCTTGTTCTTTTAATACCACTCTATAATTTACCAAACCAAAAACTTTGTGATAGCGGTAATCATTCATACTGATTTGTTTAGTTATTAAAAAATTCACAGGTGCATTTAATCAGAACAAAGCAAAAAATGAACAAATCCCAAAAAATGAAACTCCATGCTTGTTGTTTTTTCGTTTAGTTTAGTTTTCATTTTACATTTTGTCTATCTTTATTAAAGGATTTAAATTAATATTAAATATATTAAGTGTAATTACCTTTCTACCCATTCTTGATGCTCTTCCTTTGTAAGATGTCACCTGAAAATGATGCCCAAACTTACATAAACTGCTTTTTTCAAGCCAGAAAGAAACATAAATTGGATGAAGTATATCATAATATGCATCATTTACATTCAGTTTCAACTGACAAACCATGTGTATACCTGACATTTAACATGCAAAATACAACAGAATCTGAAATTGAAATAAAATACTTACTGGAAGCTCTGGACATTCCATGCCAGGAATATTCTTAAAAGAAGATACAGACTGTTATTCTCTAATCAGTGAATTTTACCATAGTTGCCAACAAAATTACCAGCTTCACATCAAATATATGCTAATATATGTAAGTAGGGAATTGCTGAGTTGATTCCAAAATCATTTCTGACACAACAGCAGGATGAAGATTGTCATTAAGGGTAAACAATATGAAAAATTTAATTTTGTACAAGTGGGCTTATTAACTAACCTCAAGATGTTCCTGTGCCGATTCCTCATGAAGTATATTCTGCAAAATGGCAAAATTCAGTTGGAAATGCTGATTATTAACAAATGATATTATTTCTTATGAGTAATACAATCCCACCATTCCATTTCCGTTTTTCAGATCTTCATTGACATTAACTCATTGTAGTTGACATATTTTCATTGAGAAGGAATTACTGTAACTCACCTGAACTAGGGTTATTTGAAAGTCACGACCATCATCATTATCATTGAATGCATACACCTATAAATAAGAAAAATAAACAATTTACAGTGGGCATTATCATGTATGTTATATTTTAAAGCAGATATGATATCAATAAGAAAAATTAGTTACAAGGTGTCTTCAAAGTGCCTGCAGTATTGCCAGGTGTGCATTGAACAACCAACAACTGATACAAGTGCATGACTAGATGCAATATTGTGAATGCTTGGGAAGACATGACATGACAGTTTTGAATGATTATATTATTGAAAACTCATTATTGACTTTAGTAAAAAAATAATCAGTCCAAATACAAAATTATCCTCACATCAGGCTCAGGCAATCTCTCTGCCTCTCGCAAAGATTCTTTATTCCGATGCTCTTGTAGCTGCTGTGATTTCTCTTTTCTCTGAAAAAGTGACAATGGTATTTCCAGACTAGGTATTTTTTCATTTTCTTTCTTAATGCCTTACTCAAGTGCCTGTATATGACCGAGTGTGGTGTTATCTAGTGTTGGGAATTGGTTGAAATCTCATAATTGATGATTGGTTCATTATCAATCATCGAAAATGATTGGTGAGTGTCATTTACCAAAATTTCCTGTAATGTTATTGCACACAAAAAATGGAAAAACACGTACTAGTAGTCATTTGGTGTTTTTTGGTTTTTAAATTGCACAAAATGCATTTGCAAATTTCACAACTTAAAAGGAGGACTAGTATGTTAGGAATAAATTTCCTGGAGTCTTTAAGATAAATTCAGTCATGACTTTGAACGAGCTCGTAGTGCTTATGTAATGTAAATTTAATGACAGAGACAAAACCAACCTTGTGAAAAATATTGTTAATGTAAACAAGGGTTCCCAAATTGTTTGTGTTTGATTATGAGAAAATATGATCAACTGCTTGATTGTTTTGTCACTGCGACCAATCTTCGATTAATTCAATTAATCGGACCGCCACTAGTGTTATCAGCAATGATACACCATCAAGAATGACACACAATCAACAAAGTCACAGAGTCTGACCACCCACATGTTCAGTCACCCTAACTGACCAGCATAGGTAAGAGGTTCTGCGTCCTCAGCTCCTCAATCAGTCTGTCCTTTTCTTTCAGTCGTTCCTTTAATACCAATACATCGGTAGCTGCCTCCTGACTGATTTCAGTTCCCTTCAAATACAATATATATATTAATTTATTCTAATGCCAATCGCCACATAACCATATAAATGGTTCTCGTGTTGAAGTTAACTGAAGTAGTTACTAGTATTGTTTATTCAAAGTTTAGATCTGATTCTGTTCTCATACCTTGTTTGCTTGTTTAATCTGTTTCAGTTGAAGATTGAATTCTTCCTTGGAGATTTCACTGTTTCTGAATTCTGTCAACAGTCTGTAAAGGGTTGCCTCATCTTTGAATCAAACAGTCTCCAAGAACAGACGTGTTCACTTTAGTATGTTTCTGCTCCTTTAGTTTACCAAGGCTGAATAAATCCATGATCTCAAGGATGAGGCGATAACATCTGTCAGATGTTGCAGCTACTGCAAGGCGAACTTTGAAACGACCACCAAATTGATGCTGGAAAGGGAAAATTAAGTAAATTGAAAAGAAAGAGCACACGTAAAAAACAATAGATGCATATATTAATAGGTTGAAGTACACTGGGGAAAAAAAAAAGGACAACAATGAATTAAAAATGCTTCATGACAAGATCTAAGTAACACTTACACGTGATGGATCTGTAGGCTTCAAAGCCGCCTGGCACTGTTTTCTCCATTTATTATCTGCACTGCCAGGAGGGGTTGTCTCACTTTTACCTGATCTTGGGTGAAGGTTGCGAAAAGCCTGGATGAAATAAATATCGAAACATTTTACACACTCTACATTCATTAGTGCAGGAGTGAGTGAGTTAATATTTAGCGTCACATCGGCAATATCTCAGCCATATCGTGACGAAAACAATTTATACAATATAAATGAAAACATTTGAAAGAGTAAAATCTGTCGATGATGGATAGTAAATATCCTAAAGTATCACAGATATGAATATAAAACTAGACTGTAAATCTAAAACATTTTAATTGAAGAAGACAGTACAATATAAAACATCGGCTACAGATCACCAACAACTGAAGGTAGATCACCATACTAGGGCATTTGTGCAGGAAGTATGTTTGGTCAGTAGTGTATAGAATTAAAGGGTAGGGACTTTGACTTCGAAAAGATTAATCTCAACCATCATAAACTGGGGATGTGACAAGGATCCCATGCTTAATTTTGCATCAGTTGGTCTGTGGAATGGATCAACATTGTATTAGTATAATTTACCAAGAAAGGAGTACTCAGTAAGAAAACCCCTGTCCAATAAAAAAACATGAATAACTTACCATTATTGTAGCTTTGAAATTTAGGGGTTGTACATCTGTAGGAGGGGTTTCTGCCAGAGATGTATCCAGGGGGTTTTGAACCAGGTCAGCTCCTTAAGAAATAGGAGATAAAACTGATAACACTGTCAAGAACTAAATTATAATATCATTCAAAATATATTAAATACATATCTATCATTCAAAATTTATTAAATACATATCTACCTTGATATGTAACTTTATATACACCCATCAGCATGTCAAGTGTCTCCAGAAAGTCATCGGAATCCTCTCGTTTGTACAGGTCACTCCATAAGTTGTCAGTAACTGCATACTTGTGTATGGGGCACTCAATGTCGACATCATCATGAAGCTGAAATCAGAGACCATATTATATGGTCTCTGCTGAAATTAAAATCTTAACACTTAATACATTTAAGATAAGTTTTATACTTGTACCTACACATGAAGTTAACATCACTACCACTACAATCTGCGACCGATAAAACGCGATGTTGCCCTCTGTCTGTACATCAAGGTATGTCGAATACTTATCAATATTTGTAAACGCCTACCTCAGCCAAGGAAATATGTTAGAATGTTTTGGCGTTGCTGGTTAAATTCGATTTACCGAGAGGCCCATGTCTACTAGGGAAATAAGGAAATGACTTTTAAGTCCGACAACATAATCCGGTGTCCGATGTAAAAAGTTCCGAATTAAACCATGACAAAGAATATTTACTATGAATGAATACACCTTCCTGCGTTTTTCGTTCTGCATAATCTAGAGTAGTTCCCCTTGAGTTTCAAAATAGGAATCGAAAGACGAAAAGAAAATATCTACTCATCAATTTTGCACCCATGTTTTAGGGGGGTCGTCATTGATTTCGTACAGGACATGGGAGAGGGGGTCGGGGTGTTGGAGTCCACTATATATAGATTTAAGTGTCTGGGATAGGGGGTGGGGCATTCACATTGTGCATTGTTCACCATAAATATCATCATCACCCCCCTGGCCATATATTATGTACGATCTCTTAACTGTACAATTGCAGGCTGCCTCTACCTCGTCGATGTAAGTCGATCTGAGGGTTGATTTTATTGAATAAATTTAGAAGGTGACGATCCACGCGTAAAACAGAGAGTATTAAACAAGATAAATATAACCGAGTATTATCAGAGTTAGTGACGGGGGTGCGGGTGTTCTGGGGAGTTGGAGGTGGTAATCATTTTTGTAAATAAATAAAACTATCCTTTGAAATTATGGGAAGGGAGTTCATTGATTTTGTACATGACGTGAAGGGGGTCACTTACTTTAAACGTATATCTTAGGGGGTGCATTCACATTGTACAAGCTCCCCCATAAAGATGCATTATCTAATCACCCCCATCTCCAACTACATCGGGAACAATATATTACTGTTCAAAGTGACAATACCCGAGGAGGCATTTTAATTGTCTCGTTAATTGCCTTGGCACCGCATAGACAATACGCGTCTTGGGTAACACCCATTACATGTTTTGTTGGTTCAGATCAACACCAGATGCTGTTGTTGTTCTTGACTTCAGGAAGATTTTAAGATTACTTTTTAATGCAATATACATTGGTCCTGCACAGTTATGTTTCATATCTAATTAATTATATCTTACAAATAATTTTTACAAACTGCCCGCATAGTAATATCAATAGGAAGCATTTATATGGTACTTAAGTATTTATATTGTTACGTAATATCTTTCTTTAAAAAAAAACCTCGGCTCTAGTGAAATAACAGAAATACCAAAGGTCGCCCAACACATGCATGCATTTAGGAAGGCTGGTCGATTCATGATACATGTATGCTTTTCAACAAATTACATATCGATGAACAGGTGTTTGTGAAAACATTTGATTACTTGTTATTTAGTTTGCTCTGCATAAAATGCCAATGTGAACAAAATAGTTTAATACCACATTCTTTGGTCGGCTTTTCTGTAAATCAAACATTATAATATACCATTACCCCTCACCTGTATAGTGACTGCAGTACGTTGAGCAGACGGTTTAACATTGCTGTCTGCACGTGGTTCGGGATTGTTGCTGTGGCTGAAATACAAAGTACTATTTGTTACAGAAAGAGACCAAGTTGCCTGTGCCATTGTGCATTGACTGATCATGAATGCGATGGGGCGGTTGATGATGATGATGATTTAGGGTTTAACGTCGGCTTTTAGCTGTAGCCAATGTCGCCGACGGGGTAGGTGGGAGATAAGATAATAATAAATAAGTTTAAAATGAGGAATAAACCACCATACCCAAAAAAATGTAAATGCTTGGGCATTAACCCATGTGGAATTTTAAAGGAAAAACTTTAAAAACATGAGAGGAAAATAAATAAAAAGCCGATATTATGAAGGGAAAGAAAAGAAAAACCATTACACTTGAGTTTATTAATTATAAGAGATAGAGTTATAACTAAATAGTAATGATGGAAAGGTGGGGCTATGGTTGGGGTAGGGGGCGGGGTGGGGAAAGGAGTTTATAAGGAAGTATAGCATAGTAGGGCATGTTGGTGAATGCAGGTAAGCTGCATAATAAGTATAAGAGGATTTAATAAAGAAAGAAAAATGGGTTAAGTTGGTGGGGGGTCGGGATGGGGGGTGAGGAGGGAGCGAAGAAGGCTGTGGGTATGGGTGATAGAATGATAGTATGGATAAGTGAAATTTTGACGCCTGATCTAAATGTGTAAGCTAGACGTGAGTGGTAATGAGAGGATTTGTTTGGGAGGTTCTAAATTTTATGGAGTAGGTTAGAGTTTTGTAGGAAAGTGGCTATGGCATGGAAGATATTGTGGGTTGAGAAGGAGGTGTATGTTATTGTGGTATTTCGTGGGAAAGTTGCTGTGTAATTGCTTAATGTTTGTTTGTTGCAGCTGGCAATGTGTGAATTGCAGCTGGCAATGTGTGAATATGTGGTTTATGTCTTCGTGGGTGTTGCAATGTGTGCATAGTCCATCCTGGTGTCTGTTTTGTTTATAGAGTGTGGAATTTAAGTTTGTGATGCCTGTGATTAGTCTGGTTATTGCTGTGTCTATGTTTTTGATATTAGAATATGTGGGGATTTTTCTTATTGGGGATTTTATAATGGAGGTGACCCAGGTTGATTTGTTTGTGTTGATGTTGTGTTGAAAGCTTGTATTTGATATGTTTGTTTTAATGAGTTTTTTTATTCTGATTTAGATGTGTGGAAGTTGAGATTTGGTGATATATGGGATGTGGCGAGTTTGGCTGCGTTGTCAGCGGTGTCGTTTCCTGTGACTGACTGACTGAGTTTGGTTTTACGCCGCTTTTAGCAATATTCCAGCAACATCACGGCGGGGGACACCAGAAATGGTCTTCACACGTTTCCTGTGATGTTTGAGTGGCTGGGTATCCATGTGAATGTGATATTTTTGTTTGAGCGAGTGAGTGAGTCTGTTTGGATTACTATATTGTGTTTGAGGTCTGGGCGCGATTTAGAGTGCATGTTGTGAAGTTGTTTGATAGAATTGAGTGAATGAGTTAGGATGAGGAAGTTTGTTTGGGGAAGGGAGGGTATTAGGTGTAGTGCAGTGAGAATAGCAGTGAGTTCAGCAGTGTTTATTGTGGTGTAGTTGGTGGAGCTGCTTGTAGCCGAGAAGTGGGCAGCAAATGCATTTGCTTTATCTTTGTTTGTGGTTAGGTCTGGAAAGTTGGGTGAAATGGGTCTTTTAGAAATGCCCTTTATGGCTTTAAATTTATCCCACATAGTCCTGGGATTTCGATGAGATTGCCTGAGGGTAGAACAGAATTTCCTGCAATGGGTGATTTTTGCTGCCTTGATAATTTGTTTAGTTTTGTTACGTAGTTGTTTAGCTAAATGTAATTTTGAACGGTCCCTTTTGATCGATTTAGGGCCTTTTTCTAGCCTTTCTGGCATTTATAATTTCATGGCTCCACCACGGACTGTTTTTGTGCGGGTTAAACCGAAAAGTCGGAATGCATTTGTCTGTGATATTTAGGATTGTGTTTGTAAGATTACTGTTAAATGTGTTTATGTCAGGGCTGTAGATGGATGAGGTGTTTACTTGCTTGCATAGTGCTGTGAATTTTTCCGAGTCTGCTTTATTAATGTTGTAACTGGTTTCTGTGGGTGTGAGTGGGGGAGTGGCGGTTGGTGGGGTGGGAATGTGTGAAGTTATAGTGATTTTGATGGGGCAGTGGTCGCTGCCCCAGGTGTCGTTGTGTACCTCCCAGGTACAAGCTTGTGTTAGTTTGGGGGGTGGGTGAATGTGATGTCTATGGCTGTGGGTGAGTGGAGGTGGAGAGGGAGTGGGTAACGGGTGGGTCGGATGCTTTAGTGAAGTTATGTTAGGGGAGGGGTGTGGGGTTAACGGTTTTGAATGGAGAGGTGCGGTTTGGGGCAGTTGGGATGGGGAAGAGAGGTGTTTAGATGGTTGGGGTTTATGGCGGGTTTGGGGGGTTGGATTTGCGAGCGGGGGGAGGGCGTGCGGGTTTGGCGGGTTTGGGTTAGGGGAGGGGGTGAATAGAATGACGAGTTAGGATGGGGCGGTTCATAGTCTACCCGAATATATTCCAGTGGCATGGCAATCACTGTAGGCCTACTCAATGAGGCACTGAAGATTACGATGTTTGAGAAATGTAGGTTTACTCCGCCCAATCTGATTATGGGGTACCATCATTCAATACAAACGCTACAACAGTGCATTATGGAGAGGGTAATTATACCTGGTGCAGCAGGCAGATGTCCGTTCTGTGAAGTTGCCGACAAACAGGACGCATCGTTGGAGCTCGCAAAGACAGCGTGAACACAGCTTCTCCCCAAATTTGCAGAACGATATGAATGTGAGTCAGATGATTTGGAGATTTACCGTACGTAAGTCAGGCATGACATTTCACGGATATATACCCTCATGTTTGTTTTGCAATACCAATCATCGACGCCCGACAAGGTTCTCAATGTACTTTTGTTTTAACTGGTGTGTATATAGTGGCGTGAGCACATCAGTTGTGTTCCATTTCGTTCATTCTTCGAGAGCGTTCAGTCAGACGGTAAAAAACGTTCTTGGTCGACGGTAAAGAGACCTAATTATCAAGTCGGCAAATAACTGAAACAAGTATCAGGGAGAAGTACTGGATACCTTCATCAGCTATCAGCTCAGCTTCGACGTCGTTGCAATGGGTGAGAATGATTTCACATTTTTCATTGATACCAAATACTGTGTAAGTCTCAAACAACGTTTGCTTTATGCTGGTATTGAATTCTTTTTATAAATATAAAATACGTTTCATTTGACATTGTCATTCATGAATTGTTTTCAACCGTTTATAGATCATACTAACGTCATCACCAATAACAGAAACCATTCTTCAAGACATCTGACCAAAAGGAAAGGCACAGAAAGAGGTAAGATGAATGTTCAAGGAATAAATTGTTTCAAACGAAATGGATCAATGAATGCTTATGACTGGAATATTTTCAAACAGTTTAACGCGGTATTTTAGACGAATCCCTGGTGTGAATAAACAATTCTCATTGCTTCGTCTTAACAATTAAATTTCGTTTCGGACCTTAGCACGGCGCCAATTTTTCATCATTTTCAAAATAAGTTTAGAGAGCATGCAAGAGATACGAACATAGATACTGAGTTGGCATTGCACCTGATTAGCGTTACGCTACGTGCTGTACCAGGTAAGTGTCATTTGTGGCTTGTGGTAGGATGGCGCTGTCTCAGCTGCCGACAGGGTCATCTCGTGGACGCGACGGTGGCGTAGAGGTGTAAACTTACGATATGCTTGCGTCGTATGAGTACAGTTGTGGTAATACATCTCAGCTATTTCTAATCTCCCAGGAGCCCTCTATATCTCTGACAAAGTGCGACTATACAGTATAGGATAACACTAGAGAACGTAACCAAAAAATATCTAATGTCATAACGACGTTTAAATTCCGCAAACCTTTATCTGACTCTGGGTGATATGTAGCTTACGACACTACGTGAGTAGAGTGTTTGAACATTGACATATCCGATACATGGAGATAATTATTTTGCATGTCAGCTTCAAAGAACATACTACTTCATTTTGAAGTTGGCATCCATAAATTCTCGCCTTTAGGTATGTTTTAGTTTCTTGTTCATGGATCAATTAATTTTATGGTTAAGCCCAGTAATTCCAAGTACAGTACCCTGCCCAGTAATTCAGACTCAGATCCGTTGACCACAGTGATTGCTATTACCGGAGTAAACAGGAAGCGGCCTACACAAGCAGTGTGTCAAGGCTGATACAGGTGGAAATATGGTGAAATACACACCTGCCCAAATCAATAAAATAAAGTCTTTAGACAGGATTGAATGTACATGTTTGCAACCTGCATTAGAATATGTTTACAGCTTGATTCAGTATTGCGGAAATAAACATATTCCATAATACAATATGGCTTTACATGAAATATATATATATATGGAATATATTCCTGGCTCAATGCAAAAGCCATCATTATAATATTGCAATCAAAACCCTTGATGTTAGTTATGGTCAGATGTTTTACATGATACAAATATTAATACTGTGCCTTGGTGATTGAAGAGTTTGGGGAGGTTTGAGGTTTCAAAAGTCATCAGCTTATTTTCATGAAACGGCATGAAATATTTTATGATTTGAGCAGTTTAAGATGTCACAGAACTTATTTCTTGCATATTATAGGATGAGTACGTGAGTGTGAAAAGTATATGTATTCAGCATCCAGGGTAAACATGTTGAATTGATTAATGCACTACACATGAAGATTGTCAAAGCTGGTTTATTGAGCTGAATCTCGTAATTATAAATATAATCGTCTACTGTGCAAATCATAATAAATCTGCCTCATGTGTACTACAAATGTAATGAAAAGAATTGTATACTGACATTTATTGATTTTTCTATTAACTTTATGTACAAACATTCATGAAATCAATAATAATTTCTATTTTTCATATAGGAAGCCAAACACCTGTGAAGAGAAGACTGAAGGTCAAATTTGAAGATTTGACAAGTGGGCGGGATTACCTTCCACAGGTATGTTCATTAAATTCAATAGAGATGTCAGTATCTATGTTGTCAGTGACACTGACCCTCATCAATTTTAACAGACAGGTGGAGCA